CTCCTCTCCCACCTCTTTTAGCTCCATTCTCCTCCCCTCCACACGTCTCTTGGCTCCACCTCTCTCACACGTCCCCTCCCTTCCTCCAGATCAAAGACTTGTTCATGAAGAAATGCCCTGGAGTGAATTCTCTCTTCATCGATGGCTCCTTCCAACTACTCTAGTGAGTAGAGGTCCCTGGGGTGGCAGCTTCGGGGTGAGGAAGGTGGGGTTGGGAGGGACATCATCCAGGTTTGGTGGTGGGATAGGGGCTGACTCTGTTAGGAGTGAATTCACCCAGCCTGATGAGGACAAGGCCAGTGTCAAGCAAAAAGGTCTTCTGGTTAAGGCAAGATTCTGGTTGCTAAAGAGTTATCACCATATACACCACGGATAGAAATAATTTAACCTCTTACGCTTGTGATTAATTGCTAATGTCTGCCAGGGGTGCCCATGTTAAGAATCTTGAGGCTGTGTCTGTGTTTAGTGGGGAAGAGTGCTGGGATTGATTAATGATGTCTGCCTAGGGCACAGGATGTGTTGTTACCTGTGTGTTACTTCTTTTCCCTTTTCCTTCGAGTTAGAGAGCAATGAAAATTCACTTAGCCACAAAATCGCCGGTGAACACCACTGAATCTTTCTCTACCAATTCCAAAGGACATCACTTTGGGTTCTGGTAGGGCCTCAGGGCCATTACACACATATCAGTTGCCAATTAATTGAGCATTCTGGTTAACAGGATGCTGGAGAACCCAGTGAATCCACATGGTTTCTCTTCTGGATGTCATTGGACTGTCCTATTACCTAGAGGGCTTGAGGGCATGCCTCCCCCTCCAGGGCCTCATTCTCCCCTCTCGCCCCTGGCCCCTCTTGTGATCTCTGCTGCCCTTTAGCTTCATCTACTCTGTGCTGGTGATTGTCTCGGCGGCCCTCTACCTGGCGGGGATTGAGGCCTACCTGGCCGTCATGGTCTTTGCTTTGGTCCTGGGCTGGATGAATGCCCTTTACTTCACCCGTGGGCTGAAGCTGACGGGGACCTATAGCATCATGATCCAGAAGGTATGGGGTGGGGGGGTTCCCTCTGGACTTGTGTGTCCTTGGAGGAAGCCACACACACCACATATGTACAGACAGTACTGGCGGCCTTGAGGCTGTGGGGTGCTGTGGGGGCAGTGGGCAGGGCCTGGACATCAGAGAGGGACAGGGTGGAGCTGGAGAGAAGATTTGGGATGAGGTGTTGGGAACACGAGGAACCACGTGTCTCATCTTTGCCTCCATATTCCCGCCGGGGCCTTTAGATCCTCTTCAAAGATCTTTTCCGCTTCCTGCTGGTCTACCTGCTCTTCATGATTGGCTACGCTTCAGGTGAGCTCCGGGTGCCCAGGTGGGCCTGGCGGGGGTGGTACTGGGACTGGAGCGGCCACCACAATGTGTGGAGGAAAATAGCCAGCGTTTGTAGAGTTCTCATTGTGTGCCTGGCACTGGGCAAAGTCCTTTCCCATTCCTGCCTCATTTAATCCTCCCAACAAGTCTGTAAGGGAAGTGCCTTTCTTATCACCTTTTACAGATAAGAAAACCGAGGCTTAGAAGGGTTAAATAATGTGCCCAAGTTCAAAAGCTAGGGAATGGTAAAACTGGTGTCTTAGCTATTGTTGTAAAAGAAGCCACCCAAAACTTAGTGGCTTGAAACAACCACCACTGACGATTACATTCAAGTCTGTGGCCCAGCTGGGTGGTTGTGCCGACCTGGGCCAGGTTTGTCTAATCTTGATGGGCTCCTGTGTCTGTGCTCAGCTGGCTGGTTGGCTGCCGGCTGACTGGTGTAGCTAGGGGGTGGCCTCAGTTGGGGGTGACTTCGCTGTCTTCCCTGGGGTCACTCATCTCCAGCCGGCTAGCTTGGACTTGGTCACATGGTGGTCTGAGGGTTCCCAGAATGTGAGCGGAAGTGTTCAAGGTCACTGCCTGGCACAGCATCACTTCTGCTTCACCCTATTGACCAAAGCAAGTCTTAAAGCCAGCCTTGATTCAAGGAGTGGGAAATAGACTCTACTCTCTTGGTGGCAGGAGCTACAAAGCCACATTGAAGGGATGTGGTTACAGGGGAGGGTGCACTTTAATCATTCATCTACCAGCCCAGGTCTTTCTTTTTTTTTTTTTTTTATAAATTTACTTATTTTATTTTTGGCTGCATTGGGTCTTCGTTTCTACGCGCGGGCTTTCTCTAGTTGCAGCGAGTGGGGGCCGCTCTTCGCTGCGGTGCGCGGGCTTCTCATTGTGGTGGCCTCTCTTGTTGCGGAGCATGGGCTCTAGGCGTGCAGGCTTCAGTAGTTGTGGCGCGTGGGCTTAGTTGCTCCGTGGCATGTGGGATCCTCCCGGACCAGGGCTCGAACCTGTGTCCCCTGCCTTGGCAGGCGGATTCTTAACCACTGCGCGACCAGGAAAGCCCCAGCCCAGGTCTTTCTTAAGACTCAGCACTGGCTCCCTCTAATAGGCTTTCTCCTTGATGACCTGATGCTGTGGGACCTCAGTGGCATAGACCATGGGGGAAGGACCAGGGATGGGGAAACTAATCAAGCTGTTGGGCTGGTTCCCAAGGGGTGGGTGATCTGCCATCCAATGCCCAGTATCCAAAAGGGAGTGGCCAACTCAGGCTTCACCAGGCCACATTCACATCTGAGGAGGTTGGTCTAGGAACCAGCACTGGCAGCAGGAAATCTGATGATGGTGATATTTTAACCCAGATGGTGCCAAGGCTCTGTGTGGATTATTTTGGAGAAGGAGAACTGTGGCCTTAGCTTATCTGGGGAGAGAGGGACAGGGTCCAACTGCCCCTACCAGGAGTAGGACTGGAAAGAACTAGACAGATTGTCAAGGATTCTCCGGTGGTTTGAAAGTCATATCAAGAGTCCAGCCGTACCACAGTCCTAAATATAGAAAGTGAGGCAGAAACCTAGGGGTTAAAGTAGCAACTTAGTGGTCAGCTTGGTCCCAGGGCTTCTCCTGCTAGGGAACACTAAATCTGCATTCTGAGGCTGACATATCCCAAACATGGTACATGTGCTGCTGTTTTCCACTATTGTGCCCATGACAGACATTGCTAATGGATCACAGAATCCTTCTCAACACATATTTCAGCAGTCGCTACAGAATTGAATAGCATTAGTATATGAGTTGGAACCTTGCTTACTGTAATCCCAGGTTGAAGGCATGGTGACAGTCTATGCCCCACTGACTGAAGGGGCTCAGCCCCCTCACGCTCCCTGCTGTGAATGGTGTAGGAGCAGATGCACGTGTTGGTGCTAAACTGTGTTGAGAAGGACTCTGAAGCTTCCTCTGGGTTTAGTGGGAAGGGATGAGCACCACGATCAGTTTGAGATGTCTGGAGGGGGCGAGGGTCTTAGTGAGAACAGCTTCTTCCACCCTTCCTCTCTGGGCTGCTGTGAGCTGGGAAACAGGAGCACGCGAGAGAGTCTGCCCCCAGAATGCTGGCATTCCAGGCTCCCAAGACCTCTAAGAACAATAGGCACGAGGAGGTTTTTCTTAGCCTTGGCACTGCTGACATTTGGGATCAGATAATTCTCTGTGGTGGGAACTGTCCAGTGCATGGTGGGATGTTGAGCAGCATTGCTGGTCTTTTTTTAAAAGAAATTTTTTGGGCCATGCCGCACGGCATGCGGGATCTTAGTTCCCTGACCAGGGATCGAACCAGTGGACGTGCGGAGTCTTAACCACTGGACCACCAGGGAAGTCCCAGCATCCCTAATCTTTACCCACTACTAGGTGCCAGTAGTGCTCCCCCCTCCAGTTGTGACAACCAAAAATGTCTCTAGACCTACCAGAGGTGCCCTGGGGGAAAAATTACTCCTGTTTGAGACCTACCAGAGGTGCCCTGGGGGAAAAATTACTCCTGTTTGAGACCTACCAGAGGTGCCCTGGGGGAAAGATTACTCCTGGTTGAGAACCACTGGACTAGGTCCTGGGAACCTCTTCCTTGTTAACAAGAGTTTGTGGACAGAGCAAAGGCTTTGCATGCAGCAGGGCCCAGATGTGACTGCTGGTGTGGCTTCCTCGCTTAGTAACCTTGGGCCAGCGCTATCCCCTAACCGGGCCTCAGCGTTCCCCTCCATCAAATGGGAAGGGTCCTCCCCACTCCTCAGCCGGCGTCCTCACCCTCGGTGAACATCACCGCCGTCCCTCCCACAGCCCTGGTCTCCCTCCTGAACCCGTGTGCCAACGTGAAGGTGTGCAGCGAGGACCACGCCAACTGCACAGCGCCCACGTACCCCTCATGCCGTGACAGCGACACGTTCAGCACCTTCCTCCTGGACCTCTTCAAGCTGACCATCGGCATGGGCGACCTGGAGATGCTGAGCAGCACCAAGTACCCCGCGGTCTTCATCGCCCTGCTCGTCACGTACATCATCCTCACATTCGTGCTGCTCCTCAACATGCTCATCGCCCTCATGGGGGAGACGGTGGGCCAGGTGTCCAAGGAAAGCAAGCACATCTGGAAGCTGCAGGTGAGGCCCCAGGCCCCCCACCCCCACCCTGCCGGCCACTCTTCCCCTTCTTAGATGGGCCCGCCTGACCCGCCTCACCCCCTCGGCCTTGTGCTCCGGGCGAGCCGCACCATCTCATTCTGCCTCCACTGCCCTGTCTGTGAAATGGTCACCGAAGACTGCCGTCTGTTTCCCAGAGCCGCCTAACACACTTCCAGGCGGCTTCTTGCCTGACCGCCAGCAGTGGGCTCAGATTCCCTTGTGGTCCATACAGTCAGCTTCACCCGGCTCCACTGGGCGAGCTCTGTTGGCACAGGCAATGCTCAAAGAGCATCACATTGCACATTTCAGTGAGGGTTCTGCAGTGAGCCCGGGGGTGGGGGCAGCTTCCGTGTCCCACCCTGGCCCAAGAGACAAGGCTGGCGTGCATGCAGGCCACCCCAGAGCCGGGAAGCATCAGCATTCTCATCAGAGGGGCTTCTACCAGCCCAGGGGTAGCTTCCAGGTTCCCCACCTGCCCCCCGCCAAGCAGATGTGGTTGGATGTAGATGCGGGCCTCGCGGGTGCTGGGGAGCTGCTGCCTTTGCTTCCCACAGGTTGCTGTGCAGTCCTAGACAGCAGAGGCCCTGGGGGTGGTGGTCACAGCCCGCCTGGGTGCATGCAGTTCAAGAACTGGGGTTCCCAATAAATTCACTGTCGCTGCAAGGCCCGGGAACGCAGCATCCACATTTACCATCACTTGGTACATTTCCAGGAAAAGGCGCAGTGAGAAAAAACTCCAAGGTCCTCCTCCCAGGTCTGGGTCTCAGGGAACCATGTGGACCTGCTCTTAACCCTTATCCATACCGCTTACTTCCCTGGGCCTCAGTTTCCCCACTGGGTAGAACTCATAAGATGCCACTGGCAGCCTATGGACTGGATTTGACCAGCCCAGATTTATTTTTTTCCTGCATCACCATATTTTTTTTAAATGAATGCAAAACTTTTAAATTAAGAGATTTCATAGAAAAATCCAGATTTCTGGCCTTTCTTGAAAGGTTGGAAGGCTGGCAAGGTGAGCTCACATTCCTGCCTGGCAGCGCTCAGATAGATGAGAGGTGGCTGCCCCCGTTACACGGGGTGGGGGACCTGCACCCCCTGGTCTGCCCCAGTCCCCACCCCTCCCTGGGGATGCCCAGCACCGAGGGGACACATGGTGTCCTGGGGCACAGGCTGCTGATCCTTCCCTCTTCCTTCGTTTTCTTCTGCCAGGCCCCTGTGGGTGTGTGAGTTCTTAATCCAGAGGCAGTGGGAGCTGGGAAGCCTAGTTCTTTGCCCAGACTGGCCCACTGAATCATTCCTGCCTTGAGAGCAGTTAGGCGAGGCTGGGGGCGGCTCGCCCACACCTGCCCGCCCTCCCTCCCTCCCCGCAGTGGGCCACCACCATCCTGGACATCGAGCGCTCCTTCCCTGTGTTCCTGAGGAAGGCCTTCCGCTCCGGCGAGATGGTGACCGTGGGCAAGAGCTCAGACGGCACTCCAGACCGCAGGTGGTGCTTCAGGTGAGGCCGGGTGAGTGGGCAGGACAGGACCATCGGGCCTCCTTACATTTTCCACCCATTGCCACTTCCCGAGCCACTGAGGCCCCCATGGGCCCAACTGGAACTCAGTTCCACCGGCTGATCTTGGGCCAGTTGGTTTAGTTCTCAGCCTTGGTTTCTTCATCTGTGAAATGGGGACAATGATAGCATCACTCCCTCGGCCATCTGTGTGGATTAGACGGGTTGGCACGTGAGATGTGCACGGCCAGCACCTGACGCACGTTGGGACAGACACCCCCCCATGGCAACAGGTGTTACTGCTCTGTCCTTTGGTGGAGGAAGCGGACTCAGAGGCGGGTTCTCATCACAGGGCACCGCCCTCTGTCGGCGAACCAATGGGGTGGGTTTCAGGTCTCCAGCTGAAAGGGGGAATCTGAGCTCTCAGCAGCTTCCAGGGCTTGGGACGTTACCCAGACGCACAGGGAATGCCAGCTTCTTAGGGGAACCCCTGGGTGAATCTTTTCTTTTAAGGGGACTCAGTCTTTGTAATGTGGTTGCCGGCACAGAGCGAAAGCATCATGTTTGGAGTCAGGCAAAGTCAGTTTCTGCTATGGGAGCCCCTACCTCACAGGCCAGCTAGTCAATCCTGTTCAACTTGATTTTGAAGTTCAAGCCCCGACTGTGATTTATCAGCTTTGTAACCTTGGATGAATAGTTCAAGCCTCAGTTTCCTCATCTGTAAAATGGCAACAGAGAATGTATCTTCCTTGCTGGGTCCTGACCCATAGGAAAAAATGCTCAAAAAATGGAAACTGAATGAAAATAACTTAAAAATAATTTTAGAAGGGAAAAATTATCTTGAGCCCATTTGGGCCCAAAAGGGTGTAACCTGACTTTAGGAGGGTGTCTCAATAATAAGAGTGAGAATATCAAGAAGGAGGGTGTCCACCTACAGATGAATGGATATATAGCCGTACAAATAAGGTCTTTCCACACAATGGAATATTATTCAGCCATAAAAAGGAATGCAGTACTGATCCAGGCTACATTGTAGATAAAACTTGAAAACATGATGCTAAGTGAAAGCAGCCAGACACAAAGGCCACATGCTGAATGATTCTACTTACATGAAATGTCCAGAATAGTTAGATTCATAGAGAAAGAAAGTAGAACACAGGTTACCAGGGGCTGGTGGGAAGGGGAACGGGGAGTTATTGCTTAATGGGTACAGAATTTCTGTTTGGGGTGATGAAAATGTTTTGGAAATAGATAGGGGTGATGGTTGCACAATCTTAGGAGTGTATTTAATGCCATTGAATTGTACACTCAAAAGTGGTTGAGGGGGAGTTCCCCGGCCGTCCAGTGGTTAAGACTCCGTGCTTTTACTGCCAGGACAGACACCTGGCAGGGAAACTAAAACTCTGCAAGCTGTGTGGCGCAGCCAAAAAAAAAAAAAAAAAAAGTGGTTGAAATGGCAAATTTTATGTTATATATTTTTTATCAGAATAAAAAAAAAGTAGGAGGGTATGCTGGGAGGCTGGAACAGGGATGCTGCCTGGGGGTGGGGAAGGGGTGCTATCTCTGGGGGGCTCCCCTTGACCCTCCCTCTGCTGTGGCCCCGCCAGGGTGGACGAGGTAAACTGGTCTCACTGGAACCAGAACTTGGGCATCATTAACGAGGACCCCGGCAAGAACGAGAACTACCAGTATTACGGCTTCTCGCACACCGTGGGCCGCCTCCGGAGGGGTGAGTAGAGGGCGGAGTGGAGGGGTGGGGGACATTCAGGGGTGCAGAGGGGGGAGCCCTGGTCCTGCTCCTCACTGATTTGTTTTGAGCAGTCCTGTCCCTTTTCTGGGACTCAGTGTTCTCATCTGTAGAATGGAAGGGTCTGATGGGCTGGCCACTGAGCTTCCTCCGCTGCTTGTGAAGGCCTGGGGCCCCTCTGTTCCACTCACCTGAGTGCATGAGATGCAGTGGAGAGGTCGTGGGCACGCAGGCGTCCTGACCCAGGCTTGAATTCTTATTCTTTCATTTACTCCTGTGTGTTCCTGGGCGGACTCTGTGACCTCTCTGAGCCCCACTTTCCACCTCTATAAAACAGGGATAATATACCTCCCCCTTTAGAGCACTGTGGAGTGCCCGGTACACAGAAGGTGCTCAATATATGCATGTGCACTCTCCGCCAACCCTCACCCTTCCCTCCGCCGCGCTCACTACAGATCGCTGGTCCTCGGTGGTGCCCCGCGTGGTGGAGCTGAACAAGAACTCGAACCCGGAGGAGGTGGTGGTGCCTCTGGACAACGTGGGGAACCCCAGCTGTGACGGCCACCAGCAGAGTTATCCCCCCAGGTGGAGGACTGACGACGCTCCCCTCTAGGGGCTGCAGGCAGGAGTAGGGTCCCCTCCACCGCCCATTTCTAGTCCACCCACATTTCAGCGGCGCTTCCTGGGGTGTTCCCCGCACCCTCCTTCGACCCCCAGAGGTGAGGGCCAGGTGGAGATGCCAGGGGGGCCCCAGGACCCTCTGGTCCCCAGGCTCCTGCCTCCAGCCCCACCTTCCCACCCGGGCATGGGCCTCCTGGCCGCCTGTCTCACTCCCATGGAGTCACATAAGCAACACCAGTCTCTCCACCCACCGGGGCTCAGACCCTGGCCTCTCCATTTATTTATTTGCTCTGTTCTCAGGAAAGTGGCACAACCTCCACCCCCAACTGGAGCCTGGCAGAGGCCTCAGGCCCCCGTCCCAGGTGCACTGCTGCCGGCTAAGCCCCCGGCCCCGCCCCACACCGTGGCCGCACAGGCCACCCTGGGCTGAAGTGGGGTGGCTTTGCTGAAGGGCCGGGCCCTCGGGGTGGGGCTGCGCCTTCTGTGTGTTCTGTAGGGGATCGTTGGTGCTCAATAAATGTTCACTGATGGTGGAGATGGTGGGGAAGACAGTAATAGGCACGGGGATGACAGCACAGAGATGGACGAGCTAAGAGATGCCTGTGTTGGGGGGATGGGGCGGTGGGGATGAGAACAGAATGAGGGTTGGTAGTAATGACCACGGTGACGTTTAGGGTGATGGTTGGTGAGGGCTGGATGGGGGGTGGTGGCCTGAGAGATGGAGGTGAGAATGGAGTGTGATAGGAAGGTAGAGACAAAGGGAGTGAGGAGAGGAGTGGTGCTGGCGGAGGGATAGTGATGCTGGGGGGAGATAGTAAATCTGTCGAAATGCTGGGAGCGCGTAATGGCACTGGTGGGGGAGGGTAATGCTAGTGGGGAGATGGTAAAGCTCATCATGGGATAGTGATGCTGGTGGGGGGACAGTGGTGTGCTGGTGGGTAGAAAGGCTGCTGGGAGAGGGCAGAGCAGAGGCGGAGTTGACAGGCACAGAGATGGGTGAGCCATCCAGTGTCAGCAGTGGGGTGATGTTGAGGATGACGGCCTTAGTAAGGACAGCGGTGGTGACTGGAGCCGTGAGGGTGCTTGTGGATGGGACCGCGTGCCGTCGGGGCTGTGAATGTGAGCTGGAGTTGAAGGCCGACCTGCTTCCCTTCTGAGGGCAGCCATTCTTCCCAGGGTCACACCGCGCTGCTGATCAAGCCCCCAGGGCAGCTCCACGCCTCTGGGCTGCTCCATCCTGCTGCTCCACCCTGAAGTGGAGGCATCTGCAGCCAGCTGAAGTTTCCCTCTGGCCTCCCAGTTTCCTGGTCCCGGCTTGGACTAGGCCTTACTTCCTCTCTGAAGCTTCAGCTGAGAAGAGCTTGGGTCTCTGAGGACCTGGCCAAGGGCAGCTGCAGTGGGAGACGCGCAGGGCTTGGGGCCTGTAGACCCCAGTAGACCCTCTGCCCAAACTGTGGCAATAGGTCCCTTTACTCTGGGCCTCCATGTCCCCGTCGGTCAGAAGGATGGCATATAGTCTGTTCAGCTATATGAGAATGAAGGGGAGACTCATGGTATTACCGCTGAGGGTGGCTGAGGGGCGCCAACCTTCCCACAGACGCATTCTTTCCATCTCCCTCTACGTTGCTGATGGGCAGGGGCTGATGGGCTTCCAGGGGCTGATGGGCTCTCCTCGTGATCCAGGGATGACCCAGCTTCTCCCAGGGCTACTTGCTTCCTCATTCCACCATTCTCAATGGAGGTCCCAAGAGCCATTCTGATTGGACGGACTCAGGTCACATGTCATGCCTGAGCCAGTCCTGTGCTGGGGGATGGGATGCCCTCCCTGGCTGAGCCAAGCCTTCTGGGTAACCATGGGTAGGGCCTAAACTCTGATCCTCCGTGTCCTCAACTGTAAAATGGGGCACAGCTTTTGTGAAGGTCAGGTGATTCCCCGGGCTTTTCAGAGAAGAGAGGATTGTGGTTGTGGTGTTCCAACAGTTATGTGTTTGGGGCAGCAAGTCAGAAAACTTACACTGGCTTGAAGAAAAGAATATTTATTGTCTCGGCAGGAAGTCCCAAGTTAGGGAGGGCAGTAAGGCTGGTTAATTCAGTCTCTGTGATTCATTAAGGGTTCTGCCAGCTCATTTATCCCTTCAAACATTTATCAGGCACTGTGCTAGGCACTACCCACCAGATGTGCTGGCTTTTTCCTCACACAGGCCTCCATCAAAGAAACAAGATGGTGCCACTGTTTCAGGAAATCACATCCAGATTCTGTCTCTTTTTATGAGGGAGGAAACCTTTCCCTGAAGTCCCCCAGCCAACCTCCCCTCTTGTATTATTGGCCAGAATTGTGTCATGTGTCCCATGCTTCAGCCAATCAGCAGGCTGGAAGCAGCAGTTGTCCTAAAGCAGCAGAAGGGAATATGGAGAAAGGTAGTTTCCCCAGCCAGGTCTCGGTTCTGTGGGAAAGGAGGATGGGGAAACCAATGTTGCCTAGGCAGCCAGTAACATCTGCGACAATCCTTCTCCCAGATGCCCACCCTCTACCCCATCTGGGCAACATTATCATGGAAAACGGCTATGACTTATTCTGGGGCTATAAAGAGGTCATTTATCTCTAGGGGGTTTTGTGATGGGCTGGCCCACAAAATCAAAACAACCTCTCAACTCAGAGACTCCACAAATTATTGAGGTGAATGTTTAATTCATTCATTTTTTTAAAAATAACGAAATAATTGTAGGCTATGAATTTTCCTCTCAGAACATTTTCAGCTAAATTACACAGTAACTTTTTCAACTGTGATTTTCTAAATATTTGATGGTTTGGGTGTTGATATTCTATAACTCAAAAGCTGTTTAGGGGGAACTTAAAATATTTTCAGGCCATCGAGATTTTGTTTGTTCCTGTAAGATCTGAAAGATGACCTTTCCCAATGTCCTTCAAAATATAGGGCATGTACTGGTGGTATGTCAAAATATTTTCAGGGGCCACAATAGACATAGAATCACTTAGAGGAAAACGTCCCTCCTGATTAGGACATGGTCTCAGTTTGATGTTTCTGGGCTTTTGATACCTTCCTAACACTCACTAATCTCTCTTTAATGGAGAAAAACCTGAGGCTCAGAATCTCTGAAAGGTAGAGCTAGAACCAGGGATGATGTTAACATCTCCTGGACTACAGGGACTGAGCATGGGGAGGGGAAGTTCCCGAGGAAAGTTGGAGTGTTGCTACCTGTGCTAGACTGCTTCAGTGGCCCTGACTCTTCCCTTTAGCCATTCCTTTGCAGTACAACTGTGTCTTTCAACTGTGGGCAAAGCATACGTTTGCATCCCTGGGCTTAACCATGTGACTTGTTTTAACCAGTGGGATGTTAGCAGACGTGCCGGCGCCAGCACCCAGGAGGAAGATGAGAGAACGTGGACTAGAGCTATGTCATTCCAGTCAAGCCTCACAGAGATCAGAGGGACCCCACAGATGCGGGACCAAAAACATTTTTTTTGTATGTCATTGAGTTTTGTGATTTTTTTCAAGTGCAGGCATCAATTTTGTGGCAATAGCTAAAGAACACAGACAATAGAAGAAAGAGTAACTAGAATCTGGTGAGGCCAAAAAGAAACAAAAACCAAAAAACTGAATGTCCACACTGCACTCCATGTTACAAATGGGGAAACGGAGGCTCAGAGAGGGGAAGACACTTGCCCAGGGCAGCTGGCTGGTAAGTGGTGGAGGTGGGATTTGAACCCAGGCATTCTGCCCTCAGACCCCATCCTGGAGAGAAAAACACTCTGACCCCTGAGGGGTGAGAGGTGGTGAGGCCAGATCGCTTCTGCAGTGGGGTAAGACCCTGGCTGTTGCCGGCCACTTCTGCTGAA